GGGAAGAGATTCACCCGCTCCTCTGACCTGGCTCGGCACCAGCGCGTGCATGTGGAAGAGAAGCCATATCAGTGCTTGGAGTGTGAGAAGAGATTCCCTCAATCCTCCCATCTGGCCAAAAACCAGCTTTTCCACACAGGGGAGAAGCCGTATCAGTGCTCAGAGTGTGGGAAGAGCTGCACGCACTCCTCCAACGTGATCCAGCACCAGTTCATGCACACAGGGGAGAAGCCACATCGGTGCTCAGAGTGTGGGAAGAGCTTCACTCACCCCTCCACCCTGATCCGGCACCAAATGATCCACACAGGGGAGAAGCCACATCGGTGCTCAGTGTGTGGGAAGAGTTTCACCCGCTCCTCCAACCTGGTCCAGCACCAGATGATCCACACAGGGGAGAAGCCACATCAGTGCTCAGAGTGTGGGAAGAGCTTCCTTTCCTCCTCCCACCTGGCCCGGCACACACAGGGGAGAAGCCACATCGGTGCTCAGAGTGTGGGAAGAGCTTCACTCACCCCTCCACCCTGATCCGGCACCAAATGATCCACACAGGGGAGAAGCCACATCGGTGCTCAGAGTGTGGGAAGAGCTTCACTCACCCCTCCACCCTGATCCGGCACCAAATGATCCACACAGGGGAGAAGCCACATCGGTGCTCAGAGTGTGGGAAGAGCTTCACCCGCTCCTCCCACCTGACCCAGCATCAGGTCATCCATACCCGGAAGCATCCATAGTTTTGGGGGCAACGCAGGAAAGACCTTGGGTATGTCTACCTGCTCAGTGCCCACCAGTGGCTGCCTTGAGGCAAGCAGCCTCGTGGCGGTGGACTGCACCAAGAGTTCACCCAGCCTTGGCCCCTTCTATGGACTTTCAGAGCCCACAGGAGCCAGAGGCTGGCCCCCAAGGTTTGATGTGGGGAGGGGCTAAGAGGAAATACCTGAGGCAGAGGCCAGTTTAGATGCTGGAAGAACTGGTGGGGGATCTCTTTGCATCAGGCTCTTTGGAGCCTGTGTCTGTGCCATCATTCTCTAAAAGTGATCTATGCTTCAAGGGGGAAAGAAATGGCTCCAAAATAGGGTGCCTCTCCAAGACAACTGGCTCCAAAAGACACCCAGGGACTGTCCTTGGCCAGCTCCCACCTTCCTCCTCCATCCTGGCCCCTGGGATTCTGGTATGTCAGGCACCAGCGTTGCAGGAAGGAGGACATTTATGGCTGGGGAAGCATTTCTTGTCCTCCGCCCTGACCTCACCTCTCCTCTCCACTACATCACCCCTCCCTAGACCTGCACATGCCCATCGTGGTCTGCAAGGAGCTCAGCTGCCACCTCCTGAGTCCAGCGTGGCAGGTTTTGCTTCTCAGCCCCTCTTCCGTGGGTTTTTTTAACCCTCCGGTGTTGGAGGTGCCATGTCCTGCTGTCAACTCTGCAGGATCACACCTTGCTGACAAATTTGCTTAATTTTTATACTGTTTCGTCAAGGCATTTTACTTGATGGTTGGTCTATTTAAGTCTGAATAAAACAGGGAGGAAAAGGTTGATTTTCATATCACAGCTCGTAACTGCCGGGCTCCTGTTCTTGATTGTCTAGGTGTAAAGACTGTATCTGTGGCCCCTGTAATGAGTCGATCACAGATGATGGGCTTTGAGTGTCCGACAGGATACTTAGAGGTGTCACCACCAAACCTGTTTTGGGGTGCTTGTATATCAATGGGGAGCTTGTACTGGTGGTGGTCTATTTACCAAACTGCAGACATTCAGTGAATGGCTTGCACATTTCTAGCACCTTAGAGGGACATTGGATTCCTGGTTTGAGCAATGTGAGACTGTCGGATACAGAACATCCTCCCTGTATTCAGTGTACCTTTTACAGGTTTCTTTTGAGATGCATATATAGCCTTTTGTTTTCTTTAGCTGCTAGGTCAATTGAAATGCATGTACAGGAAACCCATGCTATTTGCGGGTTCGGCATTCATGGTTTCAAATATTCATGAATGCTGAACCTGCATTTTAAATACACTTCATACACTTACAGGAGCTCCTCGGGAGCTCTGTGCTTGCTGCTGCTGGGCTCCCGCCCCTGCACTCCCTCCAAAACCGCCAGAGCTGTGCCCCCCTCCCCAGCCGCTGGGGTCGCTGCATTCATGAATGCAGACTGCGTTGCATTCATGAACACAGTGCCTTATTCACGGATTTCGCCATTCAAGAACGTATGCCCTGCGAATGGTGATGGTAGTTTTCTTGTTAGTTCCCACTGTTTTTGTGACGTAGACTTATGGAGAAGAGGATCGTGTGTTACAGAAGCAGATGCATAAGCATTTGTGGTCAGTGCCCTGAGCAGGGTTGAATAGCAGCAGAAGGAGGCACCTCAGTTTACTAGGGCCCCTACTGGCCAAAATGGGTCTGGCCCTGTGTGGGGATGCAGGAGCCTCATTTGCTGTGAGGAGAAGGGACAAAAGCAGCCATTTGGCCTAAGTCGCTGATGAAGATGTTAAACAGTGCGGGCCCGAGGACCGAGCCCTGGGGGACCCCACTGCTCACATCTCACCAGGTTGAGTACAACCCATCCACCACTACTCTCTGGGTG